TCACTCAAATCAGTTTAAACGTTAATAATTAAGTATGCATGAATGCAGAGCGTATGATAACAATCCAAAGTCATAATTTTTAATAAATGTGTCAATATCTAGTGGTAACATATGAGATAGAAGATGAAGTGTCTCTGCCAATTTTATATCATTATATGCTACAGTATGTCATTACTAGAAGACGAATGAATCTGTATAAGATATTTTGATAAATAAAAAACGTTAATTCTAATTGCAATCTAGATGTAAGAGACCTAAGCCGAACAACGGCCCTTATACGATAGAATCTAACATTACATATTATTATAAAATAACCCGCTTTGAATCGTCGAATTATTAAATTTACTTACTTTATTTTACTTGCTCCAAAAAATATATCAATATTTCTAGAACATTGCTGTTGATATTTTGAAACATTCCACTCGATCGGGAATAAGTTGTTTATCGACAAAAAATAAGAAGCATTTTTTAAAACAAAAATTGATGTAAATTCAAAAAATCGACAATTCAAAGTGGATAGTTTTGGAATAATATGTAGAATTATATTCCACTACCGTCCGGCTGTTGTTCGGGTTAGGTCTCTTAAATCTCTTGGAATTATACGCCCTGAATTCATATATAGGTAAATATTTCATTTATTCGCTTCAAAAACAGTCGCATATGTGACCCTCCCACACCAGGAAAATGACATAGCTGGCGGGTGTTGCTCAAGAACTAAGGTAATTAGGGGCTGACACTATAGTTTTATACTTCAAAAATTTCATTAAACTTATACTATTTAAATAGAAACCAACAAATTCTTATTTTTCACTTATATTACACATTTGATGACGTTTAAAAGCTGCATATTATGAAGAATATGAATTTTTCAACTTTTCAAACGGCATTATCTCAGAAACGGTGATTCTAACAAAAAAATAAATAAACAGTTTAATAGAGAATTTTATAATAAATAAACCTATCTAACATAATTAAAAAAAAAAATTATAGTTTCGGCGGAAAATAGGGAAAACTAGATTTTTGCACCTTTGACATTGAATAAAAAAAAAATCGCAGATGTCGGATCGATACGGACTTTTGGCATTTCATTTGTAATGGCCTATTTAACATCTGTACCAAATTTCAGTTCTATGCGAATTATTCCTAACTGACGGCTTTTTTAGCTTTGATTTGACCCCACAAAAGAACGCTAATAAGATAATTCACAATTTAACAGGTATAATTCCTCTCTGTGAGCATTTGCCCAGTGGTCTGGCTATGAAGCCAGGTGATGTCGTCCAGGCTCAGAATGGCGTCCACATCATGGTTCAGGATTGCGACAAGGAGTGTCGTGTCATGTTGGCTGATGTTATGCTATACGCTCTCAAACACCACAAGCCGTCCTTGATGGTGGATGTTACGTGTTTGAGTGACAGTGTGCGACATGTATTTGGTGCAGGAGCCAGCGGTTGTTGGGCCAATTCAAAGGCTATGTGGACGCATATTAAGAAAGCTGGAGCTTATACAGGTAAAAACTCTTCTCTTCACCAACTCTAATCGGTGCTTTATTTGTAAATAGCAATCAATTTTAACCATATCCTTCGTAAAGCAGTAATTCTAACAGGGGCGAGCAACCTTTAACAGTGTAATTATTTAACATGCGTATTAATTATTGAATAATTTTCATTAGGTGACAGAGTGTGGAGAATGCCTTTATGGAAGTTTTACACCAAGGAAATTGTTCATCAAAGCTCCGTAGATATCACAAATCATACAAGATTTCATGGTGACAGCTGTACAGGAGCTGCATTTCTTCGAGAATTCGTAAAAGATGTGTGCTGGTTGCACTTGGATGTAACAGGTTAGTAAATTTGTCCAATGATTCTGTTGAATCTTTGAAAATCTTTTGAATTCAAACTCAAAACGAGCAGAATGAAATGTGACAGATATTAGTTTAAATATAACTTCTTCAAATTATTTAAAATATTTGTCACTTAGTAGCATAAAGGGTTGATTTAGGTACTTCTGATATTATATTATAATTTCTTACAAAATTTTATTTGCTTACATATAAATTTTGTATATTTTTGTTCTTTGTCTATTTATTGTTCAATTTATAAACAAAAGTTCTGCTATATTCAACAATAAAATGTTTTTCCAGGTGTTGCCTTCCCGATAACTTCTCCAAATCTACCCTACCTCCGCATAGGCCGAATGACTGGTAGACCAACAAGAACGATCGTCCAACTTATGGCCCAATTGGCATGCGATAAAGCCAAGAAATCTGATTGCAAAGAAAAGTAACTCCAACAACAACAAACAACCCGCCTTCTTGAAAAAAAAAACTTAAGTAATATCGTGAAAAGTCCACTTCGTTGAAAAAAAAACTAGCCAAGTTCCAATTAAACCCATAAACCATTTTTTGCTTCCAGGTGTATTTTTCAAAGAATCTAAATTTTTAGTAACATTTTTTAAAATCTTTTTTAAAACAATCGGTATATTTTTTTTATTATTGTCTGCCAACGTTGCGTTCCTGAGGTTCTCGATTTTTATTTATATATTGTGCTGCAAATTTTGCCATTTTGGCAATCCAGAGAATATATTTTTGTAATTACCTTTTTAATATATTTTTTGACGCGACTTTTTGAGATATATTTATAATCAACTGTTTCTGGATGAATTATTTATTTTTATATTTCTGGAATAATTTGTTTAATTCTAAATGAATTGCGTGACCAAATAAAAAGTAAAAAATATACAAGTTGTTTTAATAATTTGAGGATGGTGAATAAATATGAAAAGAGCTATAACAACAATTAACCAGCTGTAAATGGTATTTTGCCTTAAAACAAGTTGCATAGATTTCCCAACACTTATAAATATTCGACTTGATTAATATAAGTTCACTAAAAACATTCAATGCGATATCAATTAATATCTTCAAAACAGATTATATGTAACAGTAGTGCACAAACACGCGTTTGTATGTCCTAAGGACGCGACCCATTATTCAAAGCTTTAATTAATTTTAAATTTTTAACTATTTTTCTAGGACCATAATATTGTAAGATGTTTGTTTAGACTATGAGAGTAGTATTAAGTTTTATTATAAGTATCAAAAAATATTAAATTAAAAAATTTAAATACGGTCCGGCAGATCTGTACCAAAAACTATTCAGCTCAATTCCTCGTTTTTGAATTTTTAAAATCGTGTCAAGATTTTTGGCTAAAACCCAGATGAAAAATTATGAACTTTTCTGCTAATTATAAAGAAACGGTTTAGCAAATCTTCGCGCAAAACTAATCAACCTTGAATCCTTACCGAGTTACATCAAATGGTTAGAAATTGGTGTAGCTAGTTTTGTAAAAACCGTCTACAAAATTTTAAAAATGACTCACTCACACACACAGACTTTCCAATTTCGGACTCAAGAATTTTTTTTCAAAATCGTTTTTTGCTTCAACCGTAAAAGTAAACTTTAAAAATTAACAAAATTGGCAACAAACAAAATTATGACAAAATTAGTACTCATTTTTAAAAATTTTATCAAATATCTGATAATTTGTTGCGCATATGTGTCTAATAATCATTTTTGACTGCCAAATATCATTTTTCTTCTTTTTTCTCTGTATCTCTAAAACCGTTAGACCTGCCTTAACAAAAATTTCATCAATTCTTCATTTCGTCAATACAAGTAAAATGTTTTTTGAATTATTCAAATCGGGTTCTCCGTTCTCGCAAAAACTGAATTACCGTTTTTGGCGCTTTTTGTCCCGTATCTTCGAAACGGCTGGACCTGTCTTCACCAAAAACTAATCAGCACGTCTTCTTATCAATAGGAATCGAATGTTTTTTGAACCATGCAAATTGGTTGATTCGTGCGCCCGAAATCGTGGACGAAAAATTGTATCCAAACATACACAAACACACACATACATTCATTTTTTCTAAGGTATGCCAAAACGTTCAGAAACTTTCAAATTGTGAAGATATACAAAAATTTTCATTTTCGATTTTTTTGCGATTACTATAACTTACCCTATGGGAAGTTAAAAATAGATTAGTGATGTCCCAATTCAATATGGTCCAGATTCATCAAATCATTCGAGTCAAGTCCTTAACTTTAGGTGATTTGTGAATTGACTTGAAAATATATTAAAAAAACATAAGAGGGTATTCTATTGTAGAGCCATGAATTTTAAGTCATTTTTAAATCATCATAAAGGCGATACATTATTTACTATTATTATTATTTTTTTTATAATACACTTAGCAACGTTACAAGACCACAGAAAAAAAGTTCAAAGGAAAAATGTATTAAATATAAAAATTAGCAGTTGTTGAAATGGGGGGTCACAAAATGTACACAATTGTATATGCTGGGATTAAGTTCAAAAAATGTTTTTGACAATATGACGACTGTTTGAAAAAAAAAAGACAATTTTCTTGCCAATTTTTTAAGATTTCCTTTTCAAAAATGAAGTGAAAATTGAAATTTGGGGATGAGGCTAGAATATGAGAGAGAAAAGTCTATAAAGAAGATTCCTTAAAATTAGTAAGCAAAACCAGCCTAATAGAACTCGAGATATCATGTACATCTTATTGAAAAATCGTACTACGTAGTTTTGAGAAAAACGCGTTTAAAGTTTCGCAAATGGAAGGAAACAGAAGATTATCATGGTCGAATAGCTGTATCTCCAAAAACAATTTAAATTTTATAAAATACTCCCGTACACATAATTAATATTTAATCTTTTAAAATTAAAAAAAAAAAACAGAAAAACGATTTTTGGGATTTCTACACTAGAATACCCCCTTAAATTGATAAACTTATTTGAATCAAGAAAAGTTTGAATCAGCACCTCACTAATCTAATATCTTCTATTAACACAATAAAATTGAAACATTGTTCCAAAATTTTCATCCATTTATGAATGAAACTCATTTCAGAAATTATAAGATTCAAAAATATAATGACATATTCATCATATAATTTAACACTTTTATCTATGATAAATACCCTTAATTCCTTCAAATAGAATTGTACTGGATCATAATTAGTGATTGGAATTTTCTCCTTATCTGTTTTCACATATTCCATAAGCTCCTTTTGAAGTTGTTCCTCATTTTCTTTATTTTCAAATGTGTAGTTTTTCAATGAATAGAATCGTCTAGGTAATTGCAATACTTTTAAATTGATTATTAAATCATATCCCTCTATAGATGGTGTGAACATTACCTACAAAATATTTGTATTTTAAATAAATCATCAACACTCAGAGTAGATAATTCATGAATTTAAAATCATATGATTTAACTTAAACTAAATTAATTACTAAATTATACCTTAAAATCTAAACTAGTCTCTGTATTATATATATTTTCAATAACTTCTAGTGACTGTCTTCCTAATAGGGCTATTCTTACAAGAACCTGAATGCTTGGAGATATTTTTGTCCAGGTAGACTTATTTGTGTCATAGGGAGTCACTATATAAAGTGGAGGTAGAGTTGATCGATTTACTGTAAAGTTTGTTTCTGTTTCTAATAGTTGTTCCTCTGAAAAGGTAATAATTGAATTAAAATAACAAATCAACATAAGCATCAACAGAAAAAAAAAATTCACATACTTGTCATTTCAAAATTAAAATTGATAATTAAAGGTGTAGTAGTCCAATCAGTATATGCAATTAGATTTAAAAATCTAATAAAAGCAATTTGAGGTTGGACTGGAACATCATATGGTTCTGGATTCAAAAATAGACCGGCCATCAATAATTCAATTATTTTCTCAGAAATATGAGAGTCGTCCAGAAGTTGTGAGGATAGCCATCGTTTTGCCAAGCACACTGCAGGTCCATATGCCGAATGTTGATGATGTAAACTGCAAAATGAAAAGGTTATAAAATTAAAGTGCTAAACAACATCATTCACTGAGAATTATGTACACATAGTTCCTTATTAAGGTATAAAAACATCTTTGTGATGTAATAAAGTACACTCTGTAAAATTATTTCACTATGCTTTGTATTTTTGGTGAACTTGGTAAATATAATTGTTGAAATCTAATACCATTAAAAGTAATTATGTACGTTTAATTAGATATCAATCAATAGAATTGTACGAAGATAGATCAATACAAAACTAATTTTACAGTATTGCTTGGTAAATTAAATATTTCATAGACATTTTCTTTTACAAATGTAAGTTTGTTGTAAAAAATATAAACTAGGTGTAAAAAACGTTTCAAACGAGTGAGTCTTTATTGATTCAATGCTTTTAAATTTTTGAAATCGGTTCAATCACTTCTGAGATGACGTCAACAAACAAATTATTGTTCACACACAAAGATAACTTTGGCAATTATAGACTTGAAGGAATCAGAATAACTTAAAAAAAAAAAAATAAGTAAATCATATCTTCTGGCAAAAACAAACAATTATCTGGCCTTCGATATGTTAATAATTAGATTCAATTGAGATAAACTTACCCTAGCAGGGCACTTGTCAACTTTGGCATCATCACTAATTCCCTTTCCATCCACAAACTTTCTTCAGTATCCCTATACTTTACAACCCCATCTATTCCAATTTGTTGTTTCATCAAACCAATTTCCTTCTGATGAACCACTCTCAATCTGAATACAAAACCATCTTTAAATACATCTAAATATAAAGGATTAGCACTTGCTGATATCTGGCAAGTTTTGGTAAGACCATTGGCAATTTGAATGTAAAATGCAGCTTTCAATCTTCGGAGCGCCTGCAAATTTTCTGGCCATTTACCGCTCAGACCTAATTGTAATACTGCTTCATTTGCAGGAGTATAGATTGGGCACATGTTAGGACATGGGTTGGTATCTTGTAATAATATATTGGGTAAATTTTCATCTTGTTTGGTCAGTTTATTAGATCCAGATTTATGATGAAGACCTAAAAAAATTAATATAGCTATTAAATTATTTGCAGGGAATTATTTTGACATAAGTTATATAAGAAATAATTTAGGATATTATAAATTGCTAAACAATATTGACCAACACCACAGCTGCCAATATATCACAAATAATATAAAGACAATAAAGTTAAAACACACATAATAAAAAGACAATATGGTTTCAACAAAATTCTATCCTACAATTTTTTAAGATTTTCAAGTCAACCCTATAACGCGCTGGGTACGTACCGCGTAATATGGAAACTTCAGAATAAAAATCTAGGATTTAACATACAAATCAGGCTAATTCGACGCGCGTTCTATGAAAACCGGCAACCGCGTTACATTGGAACCGCGTTACATTGGAACCGCGTTATAAAAATCCAGAATTAGCACGAATCACATCATTTGCAACGCATTATATGGAGCCCAATAAATACAAAAGACATGATATAAATTGTTTTTAATGAATTAAAGAGTTTTCATAAGGGCTTGATAAAAACAAATTATTTTTGTTCTACACATAAAGATATAGTAAAGAATGAAATAAAAACTAGATTAAAAAATTGATAACAAATAATTAGTTTTTCAAGCAGAAATTGTCTTAGAAAGACTAATGTCTATGAAAAAGCTTTGACACTACTAAAACCAATGTCGTACACAGCTCTGATATAAACTAGCATATTTATGTAAGCATATCATAAAAGATAAAATAGCCGATAATAAAACTTAAAGCCTCTTAAAATATTTAGTTACTAAATTCATTTTTAGGTTACGCGGAAGAAATTTATGGGCATTTGAACACAAATCGCGCTAATAGAGTACCGCATTATAAAAGGTCGCAATCCAATATAGCTCTGCGTATTATGGAAACCACGTTCTAGGAGGATGACTGTATTTATATTTTACAAATCTAAATATTACATGCTTTTAACGTCTAATTCAGAAGACATGATGACCAGACATACGAGGGTTTTGAGATACGAGCCGCTAAAGAAGCAATTCCTTGCTTGGACATATATATGCAAAATTTGAGATACGAGCTTTAAGCGAGTAAGAGGTATCTAGAAAAATAACACATAGAAAACTCTCACATTTATTGCTTTTGCACATTTATAAAATATTATGAGAGTACTTTTATTACCATGGGTCCAAAAATAAGGGTCTTTTATACTTTATACTTTAAGTACTTTTATAACCATGGGTCCAAAACTAAGGTTCATGTATTAAAGCAAGATATTATTGAAAACCATGAGGATGACAAGGACGTACAAGTGTAAACCATCATAGATATGCACTGCGTTAAAACAGGAGTTGATAAAGGACATAACTACAATTAAGGGCCTTACAATAATTTATAAGCAGCTTTCTAAGTTCTAAAATATTGTGAATAAAAATCATCCCGAAAAAGTTGCAACAAATTGAGCATGGCATTGCAACAATAAAACATGTTTAACTGTTATTTGACAAATTATGAATGGACAGTAAAAAACAATAACTAAATTAATAAATAGTGCGTTTATTTTTAGTATTCAAAAATCTTGACAAAAACCACAATGTTGGAGCAAATTAATAGCATTTATTCATATTCGATAAACGAGCATAGTTATGGATCAAATTAAACTCGTCGTACCACTATATATACAAATTATATTAAACTATTAACTATAACTAAATTAACAAAATTAACTTTTACTCACCTAATGCTGGAAAGCAATTTGTGAATCTAAAAACAGAAGATATTCCTTGCAATGCTGTAATTTCTAACGCCAGATCTTTTAAATTTCTTAAATCTTTTGACAAAGAATCAAAAGCTTGGATAACCTTCATTGTAGCTTCTTCTCCTGTTCCATATTCAAAACTTTGTGGTTTCACAGACAGCAATTTTAAAATACTTTCAATTTGATTTGAAATATATTTTATGTGCTCTGCTTGTATGGCTGCAGAAAAATTATTAAATAAACTTGAAGGTTTTAAACAATTAAAGGTTTAATTGTAGAGTTATTAAAATTATGATTAACAAATAAACAATTTAACTAGTGTTAAGTGGCATTTTGCATTAATACAAGTTTTATGAGCTTCCTGATATGTGTAATCAAAATAATCAGTGTAATCAAAAAGAAATGAGATGTAACAATTTAGATAAATATGTCAACTGTTTGATTGATTTGAACAAATTAAATATGAGAATCAAATTTGTTTTAAGTTAATCTAATTCCATTTCATCCATTTCAATGCATTCACAAATATTAAAGTGGTTAAAACATTCCTTTTATAAAACAGACATAAAAAATTAATCAATTATAAAAACTTACATAAATTATTTTGTAATAAATATAAAACAATATCTCGTGTGATATTTCTCCTTGCAGACATGGTATCGGTTGATTTACCCCAAACACATGCTTCTGAAATTGAACCATCTTGAAATCTTCTCAATTCTGATTTTGAACCCCAAAATTTTCTACAGATGAAAACAATTCTTTTATATACATATTTTAGAGCAAAATCCATAATTTTAATAAACCTCAAGTATAAAGTAGAAGTGTTCATTTTTTATTTATTTAGGAATTTGGAATTTATTGTTGTTTTTATTATCAATAATTAAAAATTTATAGATGTCGTATTTTCCTGTACATATTTCTGTGTGTATGAATACAATCATTCCAAAAAAAACTTGAGAAATAAAATAATACAGATTGCTTTGAAATGCAATGAGTGAAAAAAAGGATTCTAGGCATAATTGTATAAAACATACATTGAATTTTATATTATGAAAATTAAACATTAACATATTGGTACGAAGCTAGCAACGTTTTCAAGAAAGAATTTTAGACAGGTTGATTTTTTGGTATGTGGTCCTTGGTGCTCTTTTGGTTCGGTCTGAGCCATCTTGTACTTGTTCAATGAAAACTGAGTAAAAATATAAATTTATGTATTTACCTGAACTCTTCAGCTTCTGGTAAATTTGCTCCAGGTCCCTTATGTAAAACATTTAAGGCCTCTTCAGGGTTTAAAATAAAACCTATACAAACATTGTTCTTAATTTTTTTACAGTCCGCATTGACATCCCAGATTTGCTGTGCTTCTAATTTAGGAATTATAGCGGTTACTCTATTTCCTAGACCCTTTCTTAGAATGTCCATAATAACACCAAGTCCTAATGTATATGAATCATCTACAAGATCCAATTTAGATTTTTCACTGGCGTGCTTGCTTATTAATGATTTCAGAGCTTTTCTGTTTATCCTATATTAAAACAAACAAATATATTCATAAAAAAATACTGTTTTATATATGTGAATTGTAAGTTAGTCAGTAATATTTTTAAATCGCATATTAAATATATGCTATAATCTATAGTTTTTTCCTGAACTTTCAATCTAATAAATTAATGAAAACATAAATCATCATAAATAAACTATATAAATAATATTTTGATGAATATGGAATAATAAAAAGCTTAACTGGAATATTATGTATAAAAAAAAAAACTTAAAAAAAGAAAAATTAAAGAATATTAGAAATTAAAAAGCAAACATTATTTACCTGTAATTTTAATCTAACTTTGCAAATTTGCTTCTCAATTTCTAATATTCTTTTTTTAACAAAACTCCTTGAATACTAACTTAAAAAAAATTAAAATAAATTAACAAAACTCCTTGAATAAAAATTTTAATGATATCAAAATGCACCGAATTTAGTTTTTTACTAATGAAAACCATAAGTTTTATAAATGAGGGATTATAATAGACAACGAAAGACAACAAAAAGTCATTGATTCAAAGTTATTCAATTCTATGAACAATTTCTTTTTTTGATTTTCTAACAAAACTAGAAAAACTCTGCACATTCTTGGTAATCCATCTAATAGTTCTAATTTATCTGCAATTTGATTGCAAAAAAATCAAATAAAAAGTCAAAATCCAAAAATTAAAGTGTATGTAAACATTTTTACAAAATTTAGTGTTATGTATAGATGTTTTCGAATTTCCTAGAAGTTTTATTTTATTACAATCTCATTTTACTTACTGTACAATATGATCACACTGTCTATAAAATGGCATAGAATTCATGAATAATGCTTGAAATCCATTTATATTAGCATTATCCAACAATTTAACAGCTTTTTCACTTTCCGATTTCACCCTCAAGTACACATCTAGTAACAATTGTGAGCATATATTCATATGTCCTGTTCCATCAACAAAAACTACATCATAATTTGAATCAAACTCAAGAAGTGAAGGCTGATTTTCTTTTAATTCTCCCGAATATAGAGATATCCCATGCTCATGCAACATACTGTTTGCTAAAAAAAAAATATTAGCAAAATTTAAAATAAATGAAGAATGGTAAGTGTTTACTTCAAATAATTTTAATAAACGCATGCAGCAACTTTTGCAGCAAAAATGAAAAAATACCTAAACTGTTCCAAACATTTCTTATAATTTGGTAACTGCTCATTGCATTATTTAACTTCCTTTGTTTCACTAGATATACCATATACATAGACATTATATACCCCGTAAAACCTCTGCAACTTGCATCGAACTGTCTCTGCTTAAGCCAAATATTCAACAAAATTAAACCATCTTTTAAATTTTGATTCTTATCAAAAACACTTAATCTCAAGGCTTCATTTTCACTCCTTGCTAAATCTTGCAATACCGAAAAATTATATCTCGGAGTTGCTTCCCCAGCTTCTGAATCCTCTGATCCATCTCCAGTAAACCAATTTTTTCTAACATTGCTTTTACTAGGATTAAATCTGTTCAATTTAAAACTATCTTCTTCGCATGTCGAATGGACAATAATTGAAATGTGCTTGCTTAAATTACCTAATGGTGTAACTTTAAGCAAAGGTTTTAAAATATCACCTTTGTGGAAGAATTCAAGCTTTTCAATAATTTTAGATTTTTGCAGTTTGTTAGCAATATGGCATAGATACATAGCACGCTTTTTATGATATCTTTGATTCAGATAATCCATCTTTTGAAACATTTTCTTAGGCATTTCTACACTGATGTCAATATTAACTATACTGCCTAATGTCACATTTAAATTATAAGATCCGACAATATTCACAGATGCTGGTTTATAAAATTTAAATACGCCTTTTGATTCTCTTGAATCCACACTTATTGGAAATTTAACATTCATAGATTCTAACCAAATAAGATCTGATATTTCATATTCATTTTTTTTATCCTTGAGACTACCAATAACACTAGCAAATTCTTCATACCAAGTAGTGAATAATTTTACATATTTTGATTTTAATTTAACCTCGCTTAACATTTCTTCGATTTGCAATCTAAATAAATTTGAGTTAAAAAGATTTTCAGTTTCTCTTAATTGATTTAATTCTTCTACGGTGGGTTGTTTGTATAAATCATTTTTAGGTTTCTTAGCTTTTGGAGCATCAGTAGATTCTGGTTTGGCCAAAACAAATTTTCCAACTTCCGTTTGTTCTTCATCTTGTGAATCGATTTCAGAACCTTGGGAGTCATCTTCTGAGTCAATAAACTAAAAAAAGTACAATATAATTGACACATACCCAGAAATATATATATATATACATAATAATAATAATGGGTAGTGCTGCCCTAGAGCTGCCCGTGAGCTGAGTTAAACTCCAACTCGATTCAGGGAAGAAGTAGTGTGAGAGTTTTTCCCATTTCCATTTCACACCGCAGTGCCCGAGATGGGCTTATTTTCAATTAGAAACATATTTTGATCTATATTTTCAATTGAAAACGGACATCGCGCTGCCCGATGTCAGGTTGCCAAAGCGGGGAATATATATATATATATATATATATATATAATGTAAATATGAATAGTATGTTTACTCTACTCTTGCACTAACAATAAAATTCATACAGTACTAAATCAAAAAGGTTTGAAAGCCTGATTTGCCTCATCACAGTTTACAATTATAATGCAAATAATATATAATAACATATTATATAAGTTATTGTAAAATATGTTAAAAATGGATAATAAGAATTTGTAAAAGCAACCAATGTAAAGAAAAGCATACATTCAAAAGTAAGTTTACCTTTTAAAGAAAATATAAAATACAAATAAAAAAGGTACAATAAATAAGAACGAAATAAGAGAAAGTTATATTAGCAAAAAATGTATTATGGAAAGTTATTAAATATCATATCATTCTCTACCAAAAATTATTCTAACTATATACATCAATTATCAGACATAACCTCACTTCCTTACATTTTCTTCATGTTTTCTTTTGTTAAGCAATGTCATGTTTATTGTTCTTAAGATTTAACAAGAAACAAAATAATATAATTAATACTGTAAAATTACACAAGCACACATATGAATATTACTAATAGTAAATAAAAAAAAACAACGTCAATTTGAAATATATTATGATATTAGCACATGGCGTACATGTACATACCAATTGCCAGAAGAGCGAAATGGCGTAAGCTGCGTCTCCATTGACAAATTCTTACTTCTCAGTCTTATGATTTTATTAATATTTTACAGTTATGCCAATAATAAGGTAAAGCAATATATTATGACTAGAGTATAACTACAATAATATGTGTATATTATATTATTTTAATCGGTAATAAATCTATGCAAAAAATAAATAAATAAATAAAAAAATAATATGTGTATAATTATTATTACTACTTAATATTAAATTCGTTTTAATGTCTATTTGATATTTATTTATTCTACAGTTTTATATAGTTTGAATAAAATAATTAGTATATAATTTTAATTAGGTTAACTAGTTAATTAACTTCCCATAAGGTGAGTTATAGCAATGGGCCAAAAATCGAAAAAGAAAATATTTGCATATCTTCACGTTTTACTGGTTTCTGAACATTTTGGCATACATAAGAAAAAATGGATGTGTGTGTCTGTATGTGTGGAGACAATTTTTCGTCAACGATTTTGGGCTTACGGATGTACCGATTTGTAAAATTCAAAAAGCAATCGATTTCTATTGATAGGGAGATATGCTGATTAGTTTTTAAATAAGACAGGTCCAGCGGCTTTACTTACTAAATATGTTAGTTTTCAATAGAATGGATCAACCGATTTGAATGATCTAAAACACGTTCGATTCGTAATGATGGTAAGAAATGGTGATTAGATTTTGGCAAAGGCAGGCTGAGCCGTTTCGGAGGTATAGAGCTAAATGTGCAAAAACGTGCAGTTTTTGAAAGAACTAAACGTCCGATTTGAATGATTTAAAGAACTTTCTACTTGTGTTGACAAAACGATTGCTTTTGGAAAAATATTTTTTTCATTTTAATTTTTTTTTCAATTTTTTTTTATATACAGAAAATAATTCAGATTTGAGTTCTGATTCTAGCTAAAGTTCTGAAGACCACTTATATACTCTGAGTAAATATTTTTAACTTTGTAATTCAGTATATAACTAATTCTTACAAATATTAACCAATGTTACAGTATGTATTTATAATAATCTATTTGAAAGCATTTAATATTTCTCGAACATTTCGTTACGGTACGGAAAGTTCCAGCAATTTGCCTTAAGGCACGATGCAATACACCACTAGTTGATTTTATATCATTTCTTATATATTTGATTGTCTAAAGACTTTTAGATGAGTTCCAATAGTAGTAATTTAATTGTATACTTGTAATTATAAATTCGAAGTTATATTAATGCATCAATAATTGGTTTACGATACGATATTAACAAGATAATCAAAATAAATCTTGTAATAGTACAATTTATAGAAAAAGCATTTTTTCACAAATAGAACTGTAGCTTAAAATCTCATGAATGACTTTGACAATACCAACATTAGAGTAAATTAAATCTATTTTTAAATCTTTCATTATTTAGTAATAATTAATCGTAGATAAAAGAAAAGTATATGAATATTTAATATGAATTATTAACTTAATAATTAATTAATTATTTATTACGAATAGTAGCTTTAATAAAATTTTATTTATCAAAAAATCTTTCACTTTTTTTTCTTACACACATTAATTTTTTTTATTGACTATAATAGTATATTTATGATTATTGACAGTTTTAGCAGGGTAACTAATTAAAAATATCTTAAATCTTAATAAAGATTTCAATTTAACCTAATGTAGATATATTTATTATGACATGTATTTTAAAGTACAAAACTTATATTTACACTTATTAAAATTATAAATCTAATTAGATAATACTAAACAAAATTTATTGAGTAAAAACAATATTTTGCGATGATACGTTTCAAGTCAAATGTATCATTTACTAACTCTATTTTAATGTTTGTTATGAATTTTTATGAAAAGTATTTTCTGTCGAATCGCTTGACATTTCTATGGCAAAACACATCCGCGTTCGCCTGCCGCCATCTGTTCATGTAAACAAGAAGCTAAAAGTAACCAAAATGAAGAAAGTAGCGTGTGTTTGGTTGTCTGGCGATATTAATAAATAACATTTGTTTATTATTGGCGTATATTTATAGATTTAAGCTTGAATTTAGTGTCAAGTTTATTAATAGAGCCGTCACATGAATGGTTGAAACGACTAATTTATACAATAAATCCACTAAGCAAGGAGTTATCGCCGTGTGTTTTGATGTGTCGTCCTGAAGTACTATGTGCAACTTGCAATGGTCCATATTATAATTCGAAGAGAAGTGACATATTAATGTGGTAGAAAAATAACAATTAATATCATTATGTGAGTGTTCCTTGTCAGATTATTCATATGGATGTGCTTGTATGTTTATACTCTGCATTTTGGATGAAGTTTCAAGTCACGTTTGACACTTCGTATATAAATTTTGGTTATAATGATGTGAGGTCTAAATTTATGCATACCCCCCAAGTGGGTGCAGAATTAAAGTTTGTTTTATGACTATTTTTGTATTAAAGTTGGGAATATCGATTATGATTGTAAAAGATTAATTATTTTAGCTGTGAAATCGAATTAATATAATACTGCTGGATTCTTCATGATTTATAATAAATTTTTAAATAACTTAGTATTCCGTAGTAATTCTTTAATTTATGTAATGTTGCAATCCTTATAAATAAAATTGCATTTAAATGTGCTAGTTTTATGTACTAGTGACAGCTCGCGGTTTCAAACTTGTCATTTAGATTCACATATATTTCCACGTTATTTGCATTTTGTTGCAATGAAGAAAGTAATTGTTATTGAATTCTAAAAACTTTGGCTTCTGTTCTATAATAATTATGAAGACATAAATTCTATGATCATTTTTATTATTATTGAGAATTTTACTTCACCTCGACTTTTCCTTGCAGGTTCTTGAAGGTTTATTACTATTTTCTATTAGTAAATAAAGTGAAACAATGCACGTGATAAAACAATACATATTGGTATGGTTTAACAAGTAGTTCATAATGAGCCATAATATTGCCGGCATGGCCCCATACAGGATGGCTGGTCCTGGTCTAGGGCCACCTGACTTCAAACCTCCAAACGAGGCACCTCACATACCCGCACCCGCGCCTAGTAATCCTAAAAAGAGACGGAAAAATGCAAGCGCAGCCAGCAACCAATTACCTCCAACACCAGCGCCCAGTCTACAAGACTTACTACCTCCCCCATGTTCTGGATTTGGTGATACTATTGTGGCTTCAAATCCTTTCGATGATATGCCATTTCCATCTTCTATGTCTCACAATGGACCGATGGGACATAATGCATTGGCAATGCTGGGTCATAATGGACCTCCGCATTCTGGTATGAACCCTCATCTGCATCACCACCCGCATCATGGGTGGACCTCCTTGGGGAGGTCCCATGGGGCATATGGGAATGCCCAATCAACACATGCCTATGCCCAACATGAATAATTCAAGGCAAATGGGAAGTCCTATGACAGCAGGACCTATGGGCAGCCCTATGAATATGCCTATGGGTTCACCTATGGGTGGTCCAATGGGCAGTCCAATGAACACAATGAATCCTATGAATCATATGGGTAACACACCTATGGGACCTCCCATGCATAGTCCACTGGGGCCAATGGGTAATGGACCATCAAGTATGGGAGGTCCAAGAATGAATGTTCCAAATAGTTCGAGACCAATGAGTAGTCCTATGAATTCTGGTCCCCATGGGTAGTCCAATGAATTCACTCCCTTAGGCTCTCCTATGGCACCTATGGGGCAGTCCTATGAATACCATGAATTCAGGCCACTTGAACAGCCCTATGGTACCTCCAATGCACAGTCCTTTAGGACAAATGGGCAATGGACCTGCGGGTATGGGAGGACCAAGGATGACAGCGCCTAATGGGAGCATGGGTCCTAATGGACCAGGTCAAGTTCCTTGGTGGAAATCCTTTGAATGGTCCAATGGGCGGTAACAACAATATGGGTGGAAGCAATAGTTCATTAAACGCCATGGGAATGGAAATTAATCATCAGATGGGTCAGATAGGACCTATGAGCAACTCTGCATCAAATACTAGCATGGGACCCAACAGTGGTCCCATGGCAATAGCGGGCCCATGAACGAAATAGTCCTATGGGCGGAAACAATGCAATGAATCAGAATGGAATGATGATGAATTCTCAAATGGGTCCAAATGGTCCAATGGGAGCATGCCTATGGGTCCGAATGTGTCAATGGAATGTCCTATCAGTCAGAGTGGACCCATGGGACCAAACGGGCCAATGATGCATATGGGAGGGCCTAATGGTCCAATGATTCCAAATGGACCTATGGGATCAATGGGCCCAAACTGACCCATGGGACCGAATGGACCAATGGGTGGAATGAATATGTTTGGTTCCAAAACCAATGCCTGTGAGTGCGGGAAAGTATATCCTCCGGACCATCCAATGGTTTTTCAATCCACAAAATCCAAACGCGCCTCCTATATACCCTTGTGGATTTGCCACAAAGAGGTACAATATATGATCAAGCAATACTATGTGAAAGTGGCTGCAACTTCTGGTTTCACAGGTAATAAACAATTTTGCTCTTGAGAAATATAAATCCAATCAAATAATTATTATTTTTTTTGTGTAAAAATTTTGTTTTAAATTTTATAGGGGTTGTACGGGATTGACAGAAGCAGCTTTTCAATTACTAACAGCGGAAGTTTATGCAGAATGGGTCTGCGACAAGTGTTTGAATTCAAAAAATATACCTCTTGTTAAATTCAAGCCGTGAGTTTTCTTGAAGAGACATCAGTGCACAGTGTTCTATGCATTTTGAATAAAACTTCGAAAATAATGTTTTAAAATAATTATCAAAGAATAAATAATTGTTTCAAATAATGATAAAAATAATCAACAATTTTGTTATATGATTATAGACATTTTGCTATCTAGTAACATATAATTAACAAAATTGATATTTTACTAATTGATACTGACTTGTTAGTCTATTCTGGCAAATATTTGTAATTTAACATTTTGAGTAAAGTTTTTATTGCAATACTAGTGTGCAACATAGCCTTAAAAAATTGAACTTGTATATAAACAATCAAATTTGTCATATTTGAATAATGCTCAATGACTAGAATTTGACGAAACTAATAAAAGTATTTGTTAAAAATCGAAATTTTGTAGTAAAGATATTTAGTCAGAATAGATCTCTAAGTAAATAGCATTTGCCTTAAATATTTATGTTTGATAATCATTTAAATCATGAAAAACTTCATAAGCTGTGTAATTA